AGACCCCTGAGAAGAAGGACCGTGCCAAAGAGAGCCTGGATGTGCAACATTTAGTTTGGGCTACCACTGTGCAAGTATGTGTGAGCCTGAAGTGAGCACTTACCTGAGTGCTTCGGTTCCTCTATGCTGCTAAGGTCTCGGGTAAAGCTGGATGCAATGGCCAAGAAGGCTGAAAAGCTTTATGAGTCTGTGGCTGATGCCATGGCAAAAATACACACGGATCAGCTGAGTGCCAAGACCCCCGAGCTCCTAGTCAATAATTAATCCTACTTGCTATAAACCCTTGGGTGCACCCTACTAGTCTAAACTACGTGTTACAAACTATATGGGTTCTGCTGAGGGGCTCCAAGCTCATCATGGACCTCACAACCGAATCCAAGAAACTGCCGGGGCCTTGGAGTCAAGAGCACCAATTGCAGGCTTCAATATCTTACGAAACCTCGAACAACCACTCGAATGAACCCAGAAGCTCCTCCCACCTTCTGGGCCAGGTGCTCCATGTGGACGAATTTGGAGCGCACGTGCCGGCCATTGCCTCATCACATGATTTCTCAGTACTTCAGCAAAAGCTTGCATGTGTGCTGGGCCTGGGCTAGGTCCTACAGGGTGCTGTGTTAACTGAATGCAACAAGTTGCCACACGACAACAGTGATTGCTGCTACTGCTTTGCCCAGGCCGCTCCTTCGCAAGCCGGCCAAGAAGAAGGAGGAGGACGAAGACAAGTAGGGCTCGGGAGTTACAAATGGGGTTCAAAGAAACACAGAATGTGTTGGGGTTATTTCCAATTTGATGTGAACCTGTCGTGTACAGCTACGCGCGGGAATATTTCAAATCTGCAAGATCGAAATCAATTATGTTCTCGATCGGTGTTTCCATGGCAATACTTGATGCTGTGGACGTGCCCTGAAGTGGACACAGAAGCTCATGCAACAACTAGATGCACGTGGGTGGCTCGTGCAGAAGAAATATCTTGTGCACTTTCGGCTTCTGCCCCATGTCGATGTGTCGAGCACTTCAGCTTTTATTTATGCTAGCCAATAAGAAAATGCCAGGTCCTCGGGAAGCGACCGAGACGTCCAAGTTCATGGCCGAAGCCATTGGGTCAGGTGTGCTACACTCAGACACAGTCAGCCTACACGCATCCAGAGTTTCTGCATTTCTGGCCAGTCTGCTCTATGACTGAGTTGTTGCTACACGCTCTTGCTGATGACTCGATCTGCCTCAAGCGTTTTGCTGCTAGTTGGGCATGACACAGCCTGAGGAGTGGCTAGAAGAGTTGCTAGGGTTCTGTCAAGATGGCAGTCGCAAGCTATGTGCGCCATGTCCACGATGTGTTCCCACGACAGCAGGCTTGCTTGGGGGAGTTAGTCCATGGTCGTTGATTTTTTGGTAGCAGGCCCTTCCAGGATAAGCTTTGCTTCAATTACAGCCTCGCAAGGACCCGGTGATGACCCCTTCGATGCACGACCGGCTGTGCCTGAACAACGAGAAGCCGATGAGGATAGCCCCTGGGATTAGCAAACTATAAATTAAGGGATTAACCACTATAAGGGTACTATATGCAAGGCCCAATCCCTTTTTCAAGTAGCCGCCTGGGTAGTACATGGGTTATACTAGGATTTCTATCCATATGGGCTCAGAGAAATTCTATGTGCATTGCAAAGCCACAAAGCATGACCCTGAAACCAAAGTACCCCTGTACCAAACCATGTGGATGTAACCCTGTTCCGGTCTAGGTGCCCGAGCTGGTCTTTTTCCGGTGCTGATATTGGACCTGTCCGGGTGCAGGGCTCTGCTTGCTTTGAAGGTTCCGGGTCGAAAGTTGTGTCTTTTGAAAAAGGCAGATTTGGTACAAAGAACATTTAACATCCTGTGATCCCAAAACAGACTTGTGTCATTCACTAAGGTTGTAATGTACTAATGCACTAGCTATGTGTAGATGTGTGTGTAGTTCTTCTTTCACCCGAAAACACCCGTTATCAGAATCGAAAACCCCCTAGAGACACAACCAGGCTACAAGCAGCTGGAGATGTTCAAACCTTCGGTCCGTGATCTGCCACGACTGCAGCAGCTTTTGCAAGAAGGCCTCGGCAATGATGATCGTGTGAAGCTGTGCCTGCCGCGACCTTTGCTGAACGCAGGCAAAGCTCTGCTTTCCGTTAGGGAAAGGGTTGCCAGTATCCTTCGTTTGGGGCCCACTGTCTTTAAGATCGGCCTGACTGGTGATCCTATGTTCCGCTTTTACAAAGTGCCCTCGAAGACAAACACATCAGCAGGCTACCGTTATGATATAGACCAATATGCAGAAATGCAAGTGCTGTATGCAGGGGCCACGTGGGATGAAGCTTCCTTAATGGAGGCTGTGCTAATTGCTGAGTTTCAGGGCCGGCCTGGCAATCGCAATATCAATCCTGGGGGTGAGGGGCGGCAAGTGTATGACCCGCCATATTTCACATACATTGTGTTCAAGTCGGCCCTGGTTGCACCGAAGCGACAGCGCATATATGCTCAGGGGGGAAAGAAAGCATGTCTGATGGCAGCACTGAAATGCAAAGTTGATGTAGGCAGTCTTGCTGGCATGCACAAGCACCCCACCCTAGCAGCAACCGACCCAAGCCTATGTATGTGTTCACCACCCTCCCGCTGAGGTGCCGTGCTCCAAGATGGTGGGGCTGGCGAAGGCAATGGCTGCGGATGGTCTGACGGCCTCGGGTAGCGCCTTCATCAATGAGCTGTCAAAGGTTTCGGAGAAAAACGCCGAAGAGAAAGCACACAAGCTGCTGCACAAGCACAAACTCAGTCTGCCCATCCCGCTCAGGCATGTTCATGGGGATCCAGCCATCGAAGGTTTTCCGAGGTTGAAGCCTTTAGATATCTTCCAACATATGGCTGATTCCGGGCATCTGAACAAGCTGCTGGGTGGAAGGAGTGTGCATTCCAGTCATCTGCTTCTATTGTCTTTCTGGGAAAACTATAGAGCCATACATCCGGACTTCGAGCTTTTCTCTTCACACCACCAGGATATTCCTTTGGAAGACTGTATACCGATCGTGGCACACATTGATGGAGGGAGAGGCTACAAAAAGAGTGAGTTTATGATCTTTGATTGGGCGGCTGTGATAGGCTCAGGTTCGGGGAAGAAGAACAAGAAGGACCCAGCTGTTCGAGCATTCAGATCCCGTGGCTACAAAATGCAGTTGCCTCTGCTGGGCCATTCCTACAATTCTCATTTCCTGTACGCTGCGATGCCCTCTTCCTTTCACAAGAATCAAGAAGATTCATTTCAGGCTTTGCTTCGTACGTTCGCCGAAGACCTCCGGGATTGTTTCGACGAGGGAATTTCTTGGAAAGGCAGGGTTCTACGCTTGGCTTGTATTGGATTAAAAGGTGATATGAAACTTCAGGCACGTGCCGGTCGCCTAACCAGGTGGTTCACAACAGCGCGCAAGGCTCCATATTCGGAAACAGCCAGGGGTTCTGGGCAATGCTGTTGGTTGTGTCCAGCTGGGGATATCGCTGCCCCAATCGAAGAAATCCACAATGACAACCCTGCTTGGCTTCAGCAGATGCCTACGTTTACAACGCCACCGTGGCAGCCTGGGCTTGAAGGAGGGATGCTGAGACCCTCATTGTGCTACTTGGACCGACCTGCCAAGTTTTATTTGAATGACTTGTTCCATATCTATTTGGCTGGAGTTGGGCAAGATTTCTGTTCATCATGCCTGGTGTATATGCTGCCGATCTTGTTTGCTGGTGCTCAGGGCAATAATTCCGTTGATGCACAAATCGAGAACTTGAACTCAGTTTTCCGAGCATGGCGATTGGAAAAGAAGGAGGCAGTGCATCTGACTGCTTTCACGAGAGACAAATTGCAGCTCTTCGATGCTACTTCGGCATTCCCTTCTGGCACCTGGTCGAAGGCTGCTGATACGGCACGGATCACGAAGTTCATTGTGTATATGTGCGAGATGCACAAGGGCACTTCCGAAGATGATAGGATCCTGCTGTATGTTCATCGTGCTGCTCTTGCGATCAGCCGCTTCATGCAAGCTCTCTATGCTTCCGACTTGTGGATCGATTCCGGGTTGCAGGTGGCATACTACTTTATAGTAAGGTAGGCTAGTTGGAAGCTATAAACCTGATGTTGGTTTATAAGTTTATACCCAAAGTAACCTACTTCCAATACTAAGTTGTTACCATTCTTGTCTTGCAAGAGCCAACCTTATTGAAAGAAGTTTCCTCACTGTTTCTCGAATATATGTCAAGACAAACCCAGGAGCCAAGTGATGCGGTTTCAATCGTGGCAGACGGCAAGCTCTTCTTGAAATGCTATGCTAAACTGGCAACACTAGCCCTGGCACAGGGCAAGCCGCTTTGGTGCTTTAGACCAAAAATCCACGCATTCCATCACCTCATCATCGAAATGCAGCAAGCATCTGACATGGGCACGCCAGCCCTAAATGCATTGGGGGTCAGCTGTAGCCAAGCAGAGGACTTCATCGGACGCACAGCACTTCTTTCCAGGAGGGTCGCAGCGAGCACCGCTCAGGGAAGGGTCTTGCAACGTTGGATGGCATCAGCAATGCATCAGTGGAATCGCCCGGGCTGAGAGCCGGACTGATGGAGTCTGCAAGATCCGCACGTGGATGATGGTGAAAACGAGCGATCGAAGCCGCGACAACCTGTATAGCCCAAAGGTAGCACTGAACCCAGCTCTTTTACAGGATACCCCAATGCTACCCAGATCTCTTCAAACCCAAATCAAGAAACCCGAACTTTGAACGATGTTTACTCAAGAAATCCCAACTCATCAGCCTTTAAGCCCAACAAGCCTTCTTTGGCCGCAGAGGCACGCTTAGATTCGGAGGCACGCTTAGATTATGGTCGGGGAACAGGGGTCCAGGTATACCTTAAATTATAATAGGGCCCCTAATATGATTTACGGAATATTCCTGAATTAAGGGATATTGGAGTCCCTGAGGGTCCCTACGACAAGAGGCAGCAGAGGCATCCGATTGGAGCCGGCCAGCGCCTGCCCGAGCGCTAGCTGACAAAAAGCGCCTTAACACTTCAGGATACGGTTGTTCCTTTAAAGAGATCTATAAGGGTACCTTTAAAGGGTTCATTTACGGGATCTATAAGGTTTAGGGTTTAGGGCTGATTATATAAATCCTGCATTACCCACAATAGGGAATATACCATAATTCCTATAGTTTAGGGTCCTTAAGGTCATGCAGGATTTATATCATCAACAGTAGGGTTCCTTTAAAGGCTTCTTGTAAAGGGCTCTATCAGGCTTACTATAAGGCTTTAGAGTCTAGGGGCCTGAATAGCTCGAACAGGGTTTTGGGCGCCTTTCAAGGCGCCGTTTAAAGGAGTCTGTCTCTGCTTGGAGGGTCGGGGGACTTAGTAAGTCGGTTGTAAGTAGGAGTATAAGTACCCTAAATGGAGTTACCCCATTTACAACTCTACTTATAAGCGACTTACTAAGTCCCCTGCCCCTCCAAGTATAGGGGCTACTAGTAGGGTTTAGGGTTCACAGGAGCCTGAGTACTTCAGGATAGCGCTTCACAAGGTATCGCAAGGGCCCCCTGAAGGGTTCTGTAAGGGATCTATAATGCCGTTCTTGGCAATTGCTTACGGCACCTTCATTTCAACAAAGTCTTGGGCTCCCTTATTATAGTCTAGTTATAGTAAGGAACCTTAAGGAATCATTTTGGTCATTATCTGGGCTTCGAACCCAACAGATCTCCTGATCTGGGTGCTGTAGTTTGTGTGCGACGGTTCTGTAAGATTGTTTGGGGTGTTTGCTCGTGGGGTTAGGTTTCAGACTGCAGTTCAGGGTCGAAGGTGTAATACATAAAGGCATTCATCGTTAGCGTCGAGTTTCGGGGTATGTTAGATTATAAAATGTGATATGCGACCCTCAAGGTTAGAGCTTGGGGTTTACGCCTTCGGATGTCGAGCGGGTTTAGGGTTCAGGGTTTAAGGGTTTAGGGGTTTAGGGGTTTAGGGTTTAGGGTTTGGGGGTTTAGGGGTTTAGGGGTTTAGGGTTTGGGTTTTAGGGTGCAGGGTTTAGGGTGCAGGGTTTTGGGTTTAGGCTTGAGCGTTTAGGGTTTAGGGTACAGTGAAGGCATGGGACTGGCAGCAGTGGACGCTTCTTGGCCGGGAGCTATGAAATTAGGATCCCATTTTGCGAGTCAGGTTTTTTTTTGAGCACCTTTTTCCATCCGCCTAGCCTAGAAGGTCTGAGGCGAGTCAGGGTTTAGGGTTTAATATTAAAGTTTCGGGTGACCGAAGAAAGGCCGCGTCTACAACGACTTGGACTTGCACAGAACTCTTGAGCTTAGGGTGCAAGGCTTGATGACGGGTTGACGGGGATGCTGGAAGCCTGTCAGCTTGCTTGACGTGCCTTCATGGTGTCTGCGTGCCACATAGTTCCTGGGATGCGATTGCTCCCCCAGCGAAGCAGCAAAAAAAAAACAGAAGAACAAGAAGTCGCCTGCTTTGCTATGTGTCCTCTGCTCTCACACTATGGAGTGCCACCATAAAGCTCCGATTTGAACCAAGCTGCCCAAGCAAGAGCATATGACATCATAGCCGGTCTTTTCGCTTTGACACTCGAATCGCAGACATCGTGTTGGCATACCATACAGTGCATAGACAACCATTTGCCTATGCTGGGACAGCCCGAAGAAAGCAGATTTCAGGCTAACCATGACATCTACCCTGCAAAAAAAGTACCCTGCAAAAAAAAGAAGTCGAAGAAGATAACCAAAACCGACTGTTAAGCTTCGTCCTAGTGCAGGATCTGCATGGCCCAGCTTGCGATCACCACCGCTTGAAGGTCGGCGCCAAAGCGGAACCAACCCACGATCGATTCGTGCCAAGCCTGTTCCGGGTTTTTGTAGAGGGTTTTAAGGTTTAGGGGTTTAGGGTTTAGGGGTTTAGGGGTTTAGGGTTTAGGGATTGGAGGTTTAGGGTTTAGGATGTGCCAAGCCTGTTCCCACACGTCCACCACATGGTCATAACCTGGCCAAAGCTCATCGCTGAACTCTACGCGCTAGCGCTCTGAGCACGAGCACAACAACAAGTACCACTACTCCTCCTGCTGCTGCCGATGCTGATAGTAGTAGTAGTAGTAGTAGTAGTAGTAGTAGTAGTAGTAGTAGTAGTAGTAGTAGTAGTAGTAGTAAAAGTAGTAGTAGTAGTAGTAGTAGTAGTAGTAGCAGCAGCAGTAGTACTACTACTACTACTACTACTACTACTACTACTACTACTACTACTACTACTACTACTACTACTACTACTACTACTACTACTGCTTACTGCTGACTACTACTGATATTATGTACTACGACCGCTGCTGTGCCTGCACCTGCGCCTGCTCCTGCGCCTTGCTCCTGCTCTTTGCTCCTGCTCCTTGCTCCTGGCTCCTTGGCTCCTTGCGCTGCGGCTCCTGCTGCTGCCGACGAACCAAAGCCTTCATCAACGCAGATACCCTTTGGGGTTTAGGGTTTAGGGTCTTGATTCGTGGCAAGTTCCCCCGTCCGGGACAATGCAGGGTTTTGTCTATCAGCCGGAATATCTGCAAGCCCTTTTGGCGCAAAATGAAAATTCAATCTTGAATAGTCCCATGGATTGCGGGTATACTCGGTTAAGTACGGTTCGAAAGACCCTAAACCCTAAACTCTAGACGAGCCCTAAGGTAACGAACACTCAGGTATGACCTGCCTTCACACTGGAGCCTTCGAAGAGTGGTGGCCACGAAAAGGCCCTGCGTCATGAGGTCCTCTTTTTCAGCTAAGGTTTACGACTTAGGGTCTAAGGCGCTGGGGAATTTCTGGAGAACGAACATGGCTCTTGTTAAGGAGTGTAATTTAAGTTACCACGCTATGGATCTACAGCAAATAATATGGTTTCCTTATTATGGCACCTTAAATTAAAGCCCCTTACAAGAACCCAGGGAATAGAACAAAGGGTCCAGGGTTTCGCCTGCGCCTGAGGTGGATCCTGCCTGGCGACACCGACAAGAACGGCACAAAGGCCTATCCTACCCTCAGTTTCTTCAGTTTCCTGCTCAGGAACCCTTAAAGGCACCCTTAAAGGAACCTGTGGAGGCATTATCCTTCCTCCCATGTGGTGGGCTGAGGCATTTCCGTCGGGCCGAAACTACAAGAGCAAACGCAACTGGCAGAGTCAGGCACAAATCCGTTCAGGTGTCGGGAGTGTAAATGAGTTTAGGGCCGTTTAGGGTTTCGGGTTAACTTGGCCGAACACTTGCCGAAACCCCAAACCCTCAACCTCCAACCCTAGACTTTCCTACACCCTGACTTGCCAGCATGGCTGGCATAGGATTGAAGACAAGGCAAGACGTCAAGGAGGCAACGATCGGTGCAGGGCTGTAGGGTTTAGGGGCTTAAGGATTAAGGTGTCGGATCTTGCTGTAGGGGCTTTTTCTTTGGGGGCAAGAGTTGGGGTCGCAAAATCCATTGGCAAAGGCATCTGACGAAGTAAAGAACGGCTTGGGGCAGTGCGGAGGTGACGACTCGCCAAGACCTGGATCCCTTGACACCCTCAAAGACTGCAGAGAGGTTTACCTCAATAAGTCAAAGCGCAAAAGATGAGACGACACGTCATTTGCTTGGGACCGTAGTAAGCCCAGGTTGTTATGATTTTGGGTGTCCGGACCAACTCGACGGTTTGTATGAAAGTTCAATCATACAACAATCATATGCCTTGACTCGTGCCAGGAGAAAAAATGGACAACGATTGCAGGCAAGTACGAGCAGTCAAAAGAGTAAAAAGAAGCCTGTCTTCCGAAGCACAAAACTTACTTGGAGGGGCAGGGGACTTAGGACGTCGTTTATGAGTAGGGTTATAATTGGGGTAACTCCATTTAGGGTACTTACAACTCTACTTATAACCTACTTACCAAGTCTCCTGCCCTCCAAGTAAACCCCATCGGAACCACTAAACTTCAGAAAATCGCAGGGTCCATCTGCAGCACAGTTTCGGGTGTAGGGTTTTAGGTGAGTTTCGGGACTGTCGCGAATTGGGAAAGCTCACTGCGCGCGCCGCCAACGTCGGTGGAACAGGTTGCCTGTTTGCCCTTAGCAACTCTGCACAGAACATTAACAAGGGGCCACGCCTGTGCAAATGCAAAGCATCCTTCCGATGTTGGCTCACATGAGCTACAAATGCCCAAAATTCAAAACTAGCCTGGGTTTTACGAGGCCCGAAGCCTAACGCAATCCACAGCATGTCGGGGAATAATGTAGTTCGAGAGGGTTTTGGGGCATGTTCACATATAACTGAATAGGGACTGCAAGGAAATGTTTCCTGCGATCGGGTGTAGTTGTTTGGGATTTAGGGTGTCGGGCTTGGGTCTGGGGTTTAGTGTTGTGCTTGGGTTTGGGGTTCTGGGTTCGGGGGTTGGGGTCAAAGACTTGCCGTTTAAGGTTCAGGATGTGACATTGCCGGATCCAAATTAGATCCGGCAGCTCTCTCAACCCAAAACCCTTAACCTAAACCTCAAGCCCTAAACCCCAAACCCAAAACCCTAACCTACACCCCTAACCCTAAACCCTAAACCTCAAACCCTAAACCTAAACCCCAAACCCCAAACCCAAAACCCTAAACCTGAACCCCAAACCCGAAACCCTAAACAGTCCAAGGTGCGGCAGGGTGAAGTTGGCCCACTGCTTGAAGCAGGGCAACGGCCAGCCAGGGAGTGTCTTGACCCACTGCATCAAAGGCACCACGAGGTACATAAAGCCTGCTCAAATACTCATGAATCTATCCTTGAAGGCTTACCTGCGGCCCACGGAACCTACCGCATTAAGGAGATAGATATATATGTATACATAAACCGTAACAAGGACCCCTGAACAGTAGGCTTTTCCGGCTGTAAGTAGGGTTCAGGCTGTTGGGGAACTTATGAACTCGTCGCTGGGGTTCTGGGCTCAACGCTTTAGGAGTTTAGGCTTCAACAGTGGGCTTTGCTTACGGCTACGAGGTTACTTTGAGGGTTCCATAGTAGGGTTGGTATTTAGAGGTTTTGCATGGCGTGCATTGGATATGCTGGTTCTGCAGCACATGCTTGGCTGCTGACAAGTGCAACCGATGCACAATCCCCCTCCGACCACCAAACCTACCTAATGTAGACACAACCCCCCTCGCTTAACAAGGGTTGACGAGTAGTGGAGGTATCCTGCTATTTACGACCTTGTAAAAGAGCGGGTTTTTCATCAAGGGTTTAAATTTCGATTGCCTTTGGCTCCTGGACACTCTTGCTAGCCACAGTAGATGAACCAAAGCTTTGCCATTTCAGAACCAAGGAGCAGCGCCACTCTATGGAGAGCATCACGAGTAGATAGGGAACAAATGCGATCCACAACCTCGGTCAGGCTGGTTGGGTTTGAGGGTTAAGGGGTGAGGCCGAAGGGATTCCAAGCCCTAAACCTTCAACCCTTACATGGGTAGTTGTAACAAATAAGGTCCCTCTTTGTGTAACTTAATAATTGATGCCGTATTATACCAAGGACCCAAACAGGGACCCTAATTTTGACAACCACCTTCATGCTTCAGATCTGAAGGCACGATGCTGGCCGCGGTGATCTCCCTCTAAACCTGCTGGGTTGTTCAATAATGGGCCGGCAACACTTGTGGACGAACAGGTACATATATACGGCCATCCGGGCATGAGGGCAAGAAAACCGCATACCGAAAATCTAGCATATAACATTCCGAATGACTTCCAAACACTGCAGAATAGAACCAATCACGAATGTAAAGCTCATGACGACTCATGGTTCGAAGGAGTTTGATTCCTTGACTTGAACCAGGAACCTATACAGCCTAAACCTTGGATTTTCATCGCAAAACCCTCATCCCTAGATCCTCCTCGCGACATCGTCGGGCGACAACTCTTGTTTTTTCTACTTGGAGGATCATGGGACTTAGTAAGTAAGGTTATAAGTACCTTAATTGGGGTTATAGGTAACTACAAGTATTGTTGCCTCATTTATAACCCCAGTTACTAACTCCCATGACCCTTTAAGTAAACCCTAAACCCTAAACCCTATAGACCCCTTTAAGGAACCCCTATAGATCCCTTTAGGGACCGTTAAAGGAACCCCAGCTTCTAAATCCCATGACCCTCTAAGTACCCTGAACTCTGCAGCTCAGTCTGTTCCGGAGCTCCCAACCCGAAGCTCCCATGTTCTCAAAGCCGGGGCCAGCAAGGGATACTTAGTTGCTGAGTTCATGCACCCCAAAAAGTGTACACTTTCAGTTTTATAGTGGGCAATAGTATCCCAAAAAGCGTAAAGTGTATCCACCCAGCTACTAAGGATATCACTAAGCCCTAAGCGACGATCCGTAAACGCTAACACCCTAAACTCTAAACCAGAAGTATGTTTAACCTCAAGCTGAATCCAAACCAGGGGCCACCAGAGATATCCCTAAGCCATATCATATTAAGATAAACCGAAACCCGCAAACCCTAAAACCCTTAAAGTTAAACCCAAACCAGGGGCCACCAGGCATAGACGGCCACGGTTGGGCTGTGACATGTGGTAAACGGCTGTGCGAGCCTTGGCTAGCGGAGGCATTAGACCTTAGATTCGTAGGGCTTGTAGGGCTGTTTGTTTAGGGGTCTCTAGGCTCAGGGTTTAGGATTTTAGGATTTAGGGTTTTAGGGCTTAGGGTTTAGGATTTTAGGATTTAGGGTTTTAGGGCTTAGGGGTTTAGGATTTTAGGATTTAGGGCTTTAGGGCTTAGGGGTTTAGGGTCTACGGTTCAGGTTTGGGGTTAAATTCTTGTGGGTATAGGAGTGCGAGGGGTCCGAGTTTAGGAGGTAGGGTTTTGGGGGTCCAGGGCTGCCTGGCAGACGGGACTCAGCTGACAAAGCTCCTGAGTGTCACATCTTATCGCAGGTGAATGCACGGCTGCTAATTTAGGGTTTAGGGTTTAGGGTTTAGGGTTTAGGGTTTCTAAGCCCTCGGCCCTAAACCCTAGTGCCTTCGACCCACCGAACCCACTTCGTCGACGACTACGACATCGTGAACCAGTTTAGGCTTTAAGGGAATCGGGATCCATACAGGCTCCTATAGGTGAGGGCTGAGTTTTGGTGTTTAGGGATCGGGATGCTACTGACAACACTGGACTCCGACAATGAAGGTTTTGGGTTTAGGATTTAAGGCTTAGGGCTTAGGGTTGAAGATTGAAGGTTTAAGGTCGGGAAGGTTAAGGGTTTGGGGGTTATGGTTTAAGGTTTAAGGTTTAGGTTTTAAGGTTTAGGGTTTAAGGTTTAGGGTTTAAGGTTTAGCGTTTAACTCTCAGGGTTTATAGCTAGGAGGCCTTAATTATTGGAATGTGGCGAAAGGGGAAATGCGAGGAAAACACGAAACAGGAATCATAAGCTTTATCTGCATCTACCCAAACTCCTTGAACACGCCTGATTTCTGAAGTCTAAATCCTGAATGCTGTTCGTCACAAACGTATACAAACGGCAGAAACCGACCCATGACACCATTCTACACCCGTGACCAATGAACTCTGAAACAGCTCAGCGGCCAAGGAATCGAGATCGCAAAAGTCAGACCAGAAACAGCGCCAATCCAAAGCAAGCGCACGGGCGGACCCGACACCTCGCCAAGGAGCAACCCGTCAACCCTGACATATCGTGGTATAATAAAGGGGTGGTTTTTGAGCTTAGGGTTTCGTCTTGGTTTTCTGCGGATTTGTATTCCTTCAGCCGTCGTGACAAGGATCCTGTTTCAGGATTTCAGGGTGCAGGGCGATGCTTTTTCTGAAACGCCCACAGACGTTAAGGCACCACAAGCTTTTGATGATTTTTCTTACCTGATGGACCATGGGAGATCTGGAAACCTCGAACATCTACGATCTAGCACTGAGACTTCGTGAAGCGTCTACACTCAACCCCTGAAACCTGAAACCGTAAACCTGAAATCCTGAACACTAAACCCCAAACTCCAAACCCTGAGCCTTAGACCTCAGGCCCTGACCCCAACCCTTTTACGATACAGACCGTAAACCTAAAACCCTATCAACATGAAACCCCGGACCCTGATCCCTGATACGATCCAGTGACGTCAAACAGCGTCAGCTTGCCATCTTTCGTCCGCATGATCTCCTGCACCTCCTCACACGGTCCAAGGCATCCAACCAGGCTTCGCCCCTCACCCCTAAACCCACAGGGTTTGGGGTTTAGGTTTTCGGCTTCAAGGTTTAGGGTTTTAGGGTTTAGGGCTTTAGGGCTTAGGGTTGAGGGTTTTAGGGTTTGGGGTTTAGGTTTCATACAATCGTAAACCCCAACCCCTGAAACCCTGCCCCTCACCTCATTCCAGGTTTCGCGTTCTGGCTTGAGGTGCTGAGCAGGGGTGTATAGCTATGGGATGCCGTATGTCGTGTAGGGCCAGTTCTACGCTCGCCAGTTGCCTCAGCATTCCAGAAGGACTTCACCAAATACTTGTAACAACCGAAAAATTTCCGAACTCCCACTTCATCACCCGCATCGATGGTCCTGAACCTTTCAACCGCTAAAACAGCATGCAGGCTATGGCCCTTCATTGCCGGGTAGAACCCGCAAATCCATTGAGCAAATTGAGCCACTCCGAGATGAAGGGGGAGTGAACAGAACGGATCTTGAGATCCCCTCGACTACACACAGACTCCGAAGCGCTGTCACAAGGGAACAGAACTTTCCCATGAATCACGGAGGGATCCTGTTTAACATGATCCAGGGTTTAGGGTTTACCCTAAACCCTAAACCCTAAACCCTAAAACCCTAAAACCCCAAAACCCGAAACTCTAAACCCTAAAACCCTAAAACCCTAAACCCTAAACCCTAAAACCCTAAAACCCTCAAGCCCTAAACCCGAAAACCCTAAAATCCCAAACCCTTCTGGGTAAGGAACCTTCTCCTTCGGAATCTCTAGGTACCTCCTTTAGGATCCCAGGCTACCACCCGAACTTCCGAAGCCCCGGCGGGGCCCAAAGACTCTCCTCTCTCTTCTCTTAATAGATATGGTTTACTTGGAGGGGCAGGGGACTGAGTAAGTAGGTTATAAATAGAGTTATAAGTACCCTAAATGGAGTTACCCCAATTATGACCCTACTTATAAACGACTTACTAAGTCCCCTGCCCCTCCAAGTAGGGTTTAGGGTTTGGGGGTTTAGGGTCTAGGGGCTCAGGGGCTGAGGGTGTAGGGGACTATCTTCCCTGTATAAATACGGGTTTAGGGTTTAGATTTTGAGGGCTTAGGGGTCTAGGGTTCAGGGTTTAGGGGTTTAGGGTTTGGGGTTTTTGATTTCGAGTTCAAAACCCAAACCCCTAAAAGCCCTACACCCTCAACCCGCTGCTCAAAAGACCTCCATCCCTCGACCCTGAAGCCTCCACCCTATACCACCCAGAACCACCCACACCCTCCAAAACCCTGAACTAAGGAAGTGTAGAAGGATCCCTAGAATGATCTAAGCTCCCTTCCTTAATTCAGGGATACTGGGAGGGTCTGGGCACAAACACCTTCTCCCGTCCTCCGGCACTCCACAGCTGAAGTCCAGAAGCCAGCGAGGCAGCGCGCCGCACTGGGATCGACCGCGGTCGGCCCTCGGCACGCGCATTTTGGTAGGGGTTCTTCGGGTTTAGGGTTGGGGGCTAAAGGCTCAGGGTGTAGGGCTAGAGATCACACCTTCAGTCTCGGGCTGCATTTAACATACATTGAAATGTGCACCAAGGCTCGGCTACATCATCATCACACACACACACTCGTGCCCCACGGAACGAATGCACAGAGATTGAGCTGAAACTCAATCGTGGTAAAAAGGAGAGCAACGACGCCGCAGATCAAACGAAGGTTCCTTTTCGGGTCCTCTGTATAAGTGTACCGTACTCTCTTCGAGACCCATACAGGAACCTCTTTAGAGAACTACCCACATGGGTTGTCTAGAAGCTTGTAGTCTAAGAGAACTTGTGGACAACAAGAGACCTTATTGCTCCATCATACGCGACCACAAAACACTTCGGCAACCAAGAGCTCGGAAAAACCCTAACCCCTAAACCCTGCAACCCTTTACCCTAATTCAATAGAAGGCCGACAATGCCACATCCACACATCTCCGATCCTAAATTCCGAATCCGTGAGCCTAAACCCTAACCTCAAGCCCCAAACCCCTTAACCGCCGAGATGAAACGAGCTAAGGTTTGGGAACAGCGCCCGTGCTCAAGCATAGGATGATCTTTGCACCATGAATGTTTCCATAACAGGTGGAGTTTAAGGCTTTTGGCGAGAGGTTCAGGAAGTTAAAGGCTTGAAGGGCTTCTAAGACTTGAAGGGCTTAAAGGCCGTAAAACCCTAGACCATTAGGTCAAAGGGCTTATGGATTGAGTACTGTGGGTGGCTAAGCTTTTTGGGCTTGGCTCTTATTCTTCATGCACTGGAGCTCTTTCACCCGCAACGATCCGAGGAGAGGTGGGATGAAACAAGCAAGGTTGTGGGTTTGGGGTTTGGAATATGGGTTAGGGTTTAGGATTCAGGGATTGGGGTCAGGAGTTTAGGGGTATGGGTTAGGGCTTCAGGTTCAGGGATTAAGGTTTCGGGTTTAGGGTTCAGGGATCAAGGTTTGGGGAATAGGGCTCAGGGTTCCGGGTTGAAGGATTAGGCACCCACCTTTGGGGCCCTCTGAACAAGTGTGCTGAGCGTCGCAGATCGCTCCAATCCTGATCCCCGAGGATAAACCTCCAGGATGCAGCGCGGTGGATCGAAGGACTAGGGTTCCTTAAAGGGTTTGGGTTTTAGGGTCTAGGGTTCCGCAAAGGCTTCCTTAAATTAAAGGTTCTATAAGGGACCTACGCAAGAGTTCTAAAACATAAGGGCCCTCAAATTAAGAATAGGGATTTGGACTCCTTCGTACTCTAATCCTAACAAGGGGCCCCCGGGAATAATATGGGCAATTATTTAAGCTTCTATGGTGGCTTTGGGGTTCGGACTCTGGGTGCTCAGCAAAAGTCGCGCAGGCAGGATATCGGACAAAAGCCGCGGAACCAAGGTCGAGGCTCCCGTCCCAACCCCTACTTAGAGGGTCGGGGGACTTAGTAACTGGTGATTTTTAGGGAATTTTAAGTACCATAACCGCGATTAAGGTCCCTTTTAGGGTACTTATAAGTCTACTTACTACGTACTTACTAAGTCCCCCGACCCTCCAAGTAAACTCCACCACCCTTTCGTCAAAGACTTTCAAAGATGTGCAGGGCGCGGAACTTCGAAACCTGAAACATGCATGATGTGATAGAAAGCGCTGCGAGGATCGGAAAAAGAACACCGACAATAAGACACGTCATCACACAAAGACCAAACGATCCCCTGAACCGCAACAACGCTTGGGGTCGAGGGCTTTAGGGCTTTTGGTTTGTATGCGGGGGGGGCGGTTCCATGATGTTCACGATTATTGCCTTGAGAACTAACCGAAGTGCTTGACACGTCAGGAAGATTCCTCGATGAAAGGACAAGATTTAGGGTCCCTAGACCCTAAACCCTAAACATTCCCAAACCCTAACCCTCAAGCCCGAAACCCTAAACTTTCCTCAAACCCTAAACCCTAAACCCTAAGCCCCAGACCCTAAACCCTGATATCCTCAAGCCCTAAATCCCATTCCCATATCCTTAAACCCCAGACCCTACTATCCTTGAACCCCAAACCCCAAGCACGAGACCCTCTTTTTCCGCAATCCCTAAACCCAAATTTCCTCAAACCCGAAACCCCAAGCCCGAGACCTTACTGTCCTGAATCCCTAAACCCTAACTTCCTTAAACCCCAAACCCCAAGCCTGAGACCCTAACCTTAAACCCTAAACCCCAAGCACGAGACCCTAATATCCTTAGTCCCTAAATCCTAATTTCCTTAGGCCCGAAACCCAAGCCCGAGACCCCGATGTTCTTAATCCTTGAACCCTTATATCCTTAAGCCCTACACCCAAAGCCCGAGACCCTGACATCCTTAATCCCTAAACTCTAAGCCCGAGACCCTACTTAAAGGCTCATGGGACTTAGTAAGTAAGGTTATAAGTAGGGTATCATTAGGATAACCCCACTTAGGGGACTTATAATCCCAATTATAACCTACTTACTAAGTCCCATCAACTTTCTTTAGACCTCCTGCCCTCAACCCAAAACACAGGGCCGCAAACCCTCTGGTAGAGAAGCCTCCCAAAGACCATGAGCAAAGTCAAGTATGATGTAGTGAAGCAGCAGTGTCTTGAGGCATATTACAGTCAATTGTAGTAGACTGTAGTATGCTATGATATGTTGTGGTAGATTGTCGTATATTATAGTTTGTAAAAAATTCGTATCAGTCCTATCACTGTAAGGCTGAGCGCCAGTCCTGCCATCGTCGTGGCAAACACGTCGCAGGCTCAGTGCCTTCTAAGTCCGCATGGAACGCAGGTGGGTCAGCCGCCACCGTGCTATATGTCTCCGGCCTTGGCAAATGCGGCTTTTAGGGCTTGATCCTAAACCCCCAAACCCAAAAGCTTAAACTCTAAAACCTGAAAACCCCCAACTCTGAAAACCCGAAACCCAGAAAACCCCGAGGCTACACTCCGGCAGGGCTTCCCGGCCAAGTCTTGCCGCAGCAGGTGGTGCCCATCAGGTCCGTCTCGGGCTTGGGGCCACCATGAATCTGCCGCTTCGAAGGGAGAGGAATGATGCTTGGGTCAGGACTTGATTCTATTGGCTTGGTATTATGATGTTTGGGTTTAGGCCCTAAAGTTCCGCCATCAAGGATCCATGGAGCCGAAGTGGATTCCGGCATCAATCTGGATGCCACCCCAGACTTGATGGCGGCAGGATTTGTTGGGTGCAACGGACTGCTGACTTGCATGACTTGCGCTGTGTCTGAGACAATTAAGCCAACGGTTGAGCCATCAAACTGCCGCCGTGTCCACATGGTGCATGCACGCATTGCAACTCCTTTTTGCCTAAGCAAGCATTCGCCTTGAAGTAAGAACAAGATGCTTGGTGACCTAAAAGGATAGGACATGTTCTTCAAGCGCGTTCCCAACCGAATTCTTACGTTCAGACTTAAAGGTTCGCGGGACATAGTATGTAGGGATATTGTTCGGGTAGCCGGACTTATAGTTACTTAGAACCCCAATTGATGCCAATTAAGGTACTGCCCCGGCAATCCGATGCAGGCCCACTGGCATTCACTCTTTGGAACTGGCCCGTTTCAACGACGGCACGAAAGTAGCTCTGCCCAGAGCCTCCAATACCCGTACATAAAGGAATCCACAATAAGTTATAGTAGGGTCGCTAATATGATACTTAAAATATTTCCTGAAGGGATACTGGGAGGTCTGGGTAGCTGTCACAGGGAAGGAAACCCTGTGCAAGTTCCAAACCCCAAAATCTCACACATCGTGGCATCCCTCACAAACAAACCTCAGCCCCAAAACCGAAACCCTTACACCAATGCCCTCAACCATGTACCCTCAGTATAAACCCAACATTTCCTAAACCCAACCGACGCCCCACACCTCTACAGGCTAAACCCTGATCCCCAAGCGTTCACGCAATCCAAACCTCACGCAAGACTCAAAACCTCGTTCAGGGCTCGTTGCGCATGCTGCTCACGCCGATAATACGCCGACGTACGGCTTACCCAGATTTATGCTCATACAGTGGATACATCGGTCTATCGACGTATCTGCGCGCGGGCCGGGTTTCGGTGTGAAGGTGTTTCGGCGAAAGCACTGCATTTTGTGTTCAGGGTGTAGGGTTTCAGGGTTTAGGGGGGCTTACGGTTGCAGCTGGAAAGAAACTTCTGCAACGCCTGCCTGTACGCTGGCTTCGGCTTGTTGGGGCGGGCGCTTCGCTTACATGACCTTGCTACTTCCACGACTCGGGACGGGGGAGCTACCCCAGCTACCTTTGCTACTTCCGCTAATTTGGGCATGGGGCGCTACGTTTGCTACTTCCCAGAACGGCAGCTTTCTCAGCGAGCCGGGCGCCAAAAGTGGCAGGGTGCCGGGGAGGGGTCCAAGTGGCAAAGGTGGCCGGGGTGTGGGGGGTCTCAGGTGGCGGCATGGCGGGCGGGTTCTGTTGCAGGCATCTCTCCCCGACACAAACTGGGAGCGCTCGAACGCGTTACAGCAGTGTCGGACATGCTGCATCCCGCGCAGTCGCGCATCATGAGCACGAGCCTGCACAGAACATGACACACCTGGCAGCGTTCACGACAGCCAACAACAAGGGATACAATCCTAGGCCCTAGGGTCCTAGGGTCCAAAGCTGGTCGTCTAGAGCAAGGTGTTCTCAACATCTGTTGCCCGAGGATATCTGGGATGAAATCCTGCCGATCCAAGGTTCAGAGATCCGAAAAGCACAGAAGATAAGCATGGATAAAAGCCTTGGATGAAACGTTTTGGGAGCCTGAGGATTTCATCTCTGCGCAAGCAACCCCTATCCCTGCCCGAGCTTCTGGAACGCATGAGTGGCATGCTCCCTCAGCTCTGGAGGAACCTTAGCCCGGGTGCACTAAACCTTTCATCTTCTGGAAGGGCTCTCGCACGCTGCCCTAACCCGGCTCTGAGCTAACGTCTGAGCTAACGAAAAGAAGCTTCTGCAACTCTCAATGCGATGGCGCCGTGCATTGATATCAACTCTCAACTCGAGCACTCCACGCTACGGACCGAGCTGCGAGAGGACCTTGGAGCTCCGAACACCCACCAGCGAAGACAGCAAGTGGAGCCCAGAGGTCTTCTTCTTGGTGGCCTAGACCAGCCCTAAACCCCCCCAGACCTCTCTCTTTGAAAAGTTTACTTGGGTTCTGTATTTGTAAATTTGGGCTTCCTCCGACCGCACACCTTTGTCTTTCAGACGACGTTCGAAGGAGATGCAAAGACCCGGGGCTTCGGAGGGCAACGACTCCAGAAAAATGGATGCTTCGGATCTGCGTCAGATGAAAACGACCTTTGCTTGTCCCAAGAGAGGGCAGTCTGGAAGCAAAGGCAAAGACGATTGATCCTTGAGCCTAAGGCCCTAATCCATAAACAACGTGGTCCGCATGTGAACTTAAACGAAAGAATACAAGCCACAGCGCAGAGGGCTGGCTGTAATTAGGTTTGATCCGAGCAGCGTCAAACCAACGGGCTCCGGAAGTGACCAATTCCATGACCTGGCACAGGATGAAAACTACACGAAACTGCGCGGAGGTTGGGTCGCGTATTGGGCTCACTATTTTCACTCTGCAAAAGAGGGCTGCGGTGAGTCGCAGTCAGGTTAAAGCCCTTTAGCTCAAACCCTCTTCTCTCTACACTGTACAGCTACTTACCTAGGTTTCCTAGTGTAGCCTACAAAAATAGGGGTTTGAGAAAGCCTCCCGCGGGGCATCCCGCAGTCGGAGGGTGAGACGCCCCTGGTAGGGCGGAGCGTCCCGCGCACAGGGCTGGCAGCCGAAAGGCTCGCCCTGCGGTGCTACCCGCTAGGGGCCTCTTACGGTGGAGGCACCCACTGGCGGGAGTTGTTCACCGCACTGCCGGGCTTGGTGCTCTGGTGCCCGTTGCGGCAGTGGAGACACACCCTGTGTCTGATTGTTGCCCCTTCCATGAATGGGCAACCGCGCTGTTGGCCATGGTACCGGCGCACGACGCGGCCGGTGGCCACTTGAAAGGCGAACCCGGCCCAAAGGAACTCGGAGTTCTGAGGATCTGCTGCACAATGGCAGCGAAAGCCGATCAGGATTTGATCCGCTGGGACGGAGCTCAGCCCATTTCAGTTGGTGAACAGGTGGATCTTGTCACCACGGGCTGTCTCGTAGAGATGCTCGTCGTCCCCGGACAGGGGTTCCGGTCCCCTACGCCTGCGCCGCACCCTTGGTGCAGCGGGCGGCGGTGGTGGAGAGCTGCCGCAGGGGGCGGACCTGGAGTCCTCCTGAGCCCCCCTAGGCTGTTGCTCCCTCCTTTCCTCTTGCGCCTCTTGCGGCGCTTCTGGCCCTAGCCAGACCTCCGTGGCCCTTTGGGCTGCACGCGGCGGCTCTTCGGCACGCTCGGCGTGGTGCTCGATCTCTTCCTCGGGCTCCGGCTCCTGCCTGTCACGCCTGCACCTGCAGAGCCAGGAGACTAGGGCCGCGAAGCCGAGCACCAGCTCTGCGAAGTCGTGCCCTTGGGCCTTGGCAGGTCGAACCTGCAGCGCCACGATTGTGGCCATGAGCGCCGAGCTTGCAAGCTTGGTCGGCGGTCTCATTTTCCAGGGGCTTGCCTGGATCGATTTGATCGTGCCCTTTTGGGCCAGAGCCTCGGTGGCGCCTGCGACCGCATCGAGGTCCACCATGCCCATGGAGGGCAGGGATTGCCGCACCTCCGGTCCAGTCTTCGCGTGCTTGGTAGCGAAGTTTGCCGGATTTTCGGTTCCCTTAACTTTTCTCAGTTCGAGAAGTTTGGCTCTGAGCGCGCCTTGGACAAAGAATTCCGCGACTTCCAGGTGTCTCAGCTTGGACCCTGGTCCTATGCGCTTGGCGGCTCCGATCGAGGCTGCGGAGTCTGCCCAGAGCCGCGGTACGCCGCAGGCTATAGGGCAAAGTCCTTCTCCGCAAGCTCTCGTAGGAAGACGGCCTCCCTTGCTGCTCGCGACACTCCCCGGATCTCCGCGTCTCCGCCGGAGGTTGCTGGGAGGCCGGGCTGTGTCTGGCAGCTTGTCTGGATGACTGCTCCCCCCGAGACAGGCAACTATGTTGTCTGTGCTCCTTCTCGTTTCTGGGCACCCTGCCCAGTCGGAGTCGGAGTAGACCTCCAAGTTCAGAGGGGCTGTGCTCTTGGACGCGGGGTCCAGCACAACTACCCTTCCAAACCGCGGGGTTGCCCGCAGGTATCGCGCGAGGGTTTCCGCAGCGAGCCAGTCGCAGACCCTGGGGTTCTGCATCCTTCGTGCCAGCTCTTTCACGGCGAACTGTATGTCTCGCCTGTCCGCCGACAGGTAGATAGCACTACCCAGGGCGCTGCGGAACCTCGCGGCGTCACCCGCAGAGAGCTCCTCGACCTTGGTCAGGTCTAGAGGTCTGCTAGGCACGGTCCCCTTGTCTTTTGGACCGATGCCCAGCTGCTCGCACACATTCTCTGCGTGCTTGCTGTCGGGCAGCGTGAGGATTGAGTCCTCTGTGCGCACCTTGGTCCTTCCCAGGACCTCCGCCGCAGTGCCCGGCTCTTCCAGTTCTCCCACCGTTATCTCACAGTGCGTCGGAAGGTCCACCTCCGTGAACTTCAGCACTGCGGCCTTGGGGCCTGCGACACGGATGTCGTCGATGTGGTGGAGAAGGATTAGGCCGGACCGGCGGTCTCGGTGCACGCACGGGTCCTTCACGCCCCGCTGGAAGTCGTAGTCCTTGGCCAGCTTGCCGGTGAGGACTTCTTCCAGCTCGTCCCTGTAGACGGAACCAGCCGTTCTTCGGCCGTAAAGGTTGCCGTCCACTCGGAACACAAAGTCCCGGAAGTGGTCTCGGTACCACTGCTGGTCCTTTGCAGGCTGCTCCAAAACCCATTGGTCAAAGAGCTCGCGCCACTCCACAGGCGCGTGCATGTAGACCGGGCGGCCTTCCGCCGCACCGCGGTCCTTCCCTATGAGGAAGGCGGCCACAATATCCAGAGACCTTGTGACCCACCCCTCGTTGTGTAGCGCTGCTACCTCAAGTAGGGAGTGACTCTCGGGCGTTGGCGTTGGGACGAAAACGTCCAAGCCAGCTTCCTGTTCTGGGCTGTAGCGGGCCTTGACGTCGGCACAGGTACACCTTGACTTGTACCGTCCTTTGTCGCACTTGTCGACCCACTTTGCCCTGAACAGCTGCGCCCCGCGCGGTACTTCAGACCGCAGCACAGGCGTGAAAGCGCCTCGGTCCCACAGCTTTCTTAGCTGCTCCTTGCGTGCCTGCTCGACCTGCTTGCCTCTTGTTAAAGGATTTTTTTTAAATCCTGCTGTGTTTCGGCCTTCGACGGCTGGAAAAAGGTGTAACAAAAATCTTGGGCGGGGCCTTGCTTTGACTGAACACTCACAGCTGGGGGGGTCATGAATGAAGCTTATGTATCAGCGAAAAATCACAGACAACCTGAGTTGTAGCCCATACTACAAAAGATAGAAATAGTTGGAAACCATTTTTCTAAAATACTGTGTATGTTTCAAAAAACATAAATGCCTATTTCGATTTCTCGAATGCAGGCAACCACATGTCGAGCACTAGTTTCAAATATTTCAGGTTATCGAAATTAGGTTCGCAAATTCGTGGGACCACATCAAATGTCACAGAAAACAGAATTAATGCATTTCAAGTTGTTCTTTGTTTCATATGTGTTTCTGCAGCCACTACACGTGCACACATGCCATGTGGTTTCGTGGTTTTCAAGGCCCTATATTAATTCTTGGCTCGTATAATAATAGGCTTCTTTGAAATTTGCCAGGTTCGAGATGTAGGCCCATTGCTTCATGAAGGTAGGAACAATAGCTTCTAGGTCATCTCACCCAAGGCTGGAACAACAGATAGATTCCTACCTTCTCCTGCCCCCCTTTCAGACACCACAATCCAAAAGCCCCAATCCCCAAAGCCCTAAACCCTAAGCCTAAATAACCCTAAGCCTAAACTCCTAAATACCCCGCGTACCTTTCAGGGCCCTGCAGGCAAGCTCGGCGACAAGGCGAAGGAGATCAGACGGTGCCGCGAAGGCGCCAAAGAAAATGTGCCGCGATGGCGCAAAGGCGACTAATGACGACCAACGACGACGACGATTGTGCCGCGATGGCGCAGCCACAGACAAAGAAGATGCGCCGCGATGGCGCAGACATGCACTCAGAGAAGATGCGCAGCGATGGCGCAGACACAGACAAGATGCGCCGCGATGGCGCAGAGGGGGGAACACATCATGTGCCTCGAAGGCGCAGGAGCAGCAAGTAGGCAGCGCACCGCGAGGGTGCAGGTAGACTTGTCATGTGCCGCGACGGCGCATTCTCTCCCTTACTCTGATCTCTGTGCCTCTCTCTCTCTCTCTCTCTCTCTCTCTCTCTCAGGCTGTCTGTGCCACTTTCGACGATGCGCCGTGATATCAGTGGCCACTGCCTGAGTTACGGTGTCTGGGCGCTTTGTTGCTACTCCCTCGAAGATGTTCTGGTTGCGCACACGCAGTCACCGTAAGGCTGTGACAGCGTCGACCGGGCAGAATGCAGTAGTCAGTAGCCTCAATCGTGGAAGAAGCCCCGAATGTGTTCATATAGCGACTAGAACCGCAATGAGCAGACTCCGTCTGGAATGACTGTGACGGGCAGTCGAAGTTGCAAACCACTTTTCTTTCTGCCGAGGCTGCCGCGGAAGACGCTCTCCGCTACTAGAGGCCCAGTGCACAGCTGCGGCCAGCCCACCAGCCAGTTCGTCGTGCTAGCATGTTGACTACCGTTCTATGCCATCAGCAGGCATTGTCTACATCTCTGATCTTTGCAGCCGGAAGTCTGGGCCCTACGACGACCGGTCTGAGTCGGGTTCACTCGTCGCGGTAGGCACCTGGATCATTAAGATCCCTTCGTGAGGGGTTCCTATAAAGTACCTTTAACAGTTTTGGATGCTTCCGGGGGACTGGGGATGATTGAAAGCCGAAACCCTCCACCCCAGAGAAAAAGCAATCCGAAACCCAACCCCAGCTCGTCACCCAAAAGTTTCTGTGGATGGAATAAGCACAGAAGAAAGTATGCATGTCACATAATGCATCACAGACACCGGTGTTGTGGGGGCGCTCTTGGCCGGTGATGTCGGGCTCTTGAGCCGGGCATTCATCTCCGACATCAGCTCGCTGACCATTGCCTCTGCAGGGAGCTACTGCAGAACTCCGTGATAGATGCCGTCTGGCCTACAGACTCCGAGGAAGTCTGCGGGATCCGGGATCCCGCCGGTTTGGCTGGAGGCCAGCAGTAGCCTTTCCGCCATTCCAACGCTTCCCAGACCCTGCCAGAGGCGAATGCTTTGTTTTACTTCGCCGCAGATATCTCAGTTTTGGGGTTTCAGGCAGGACAGGATGTGGGAGGGACCGGGCCCAGGCAGAGTTTGGGGGCAAGGGCCGGATAGGGGCCACGGCCTGGGTAAAGGTGCGCAGATGCGCGCGCACCTGCGATTTTCACATTGGCGAAAGAGCTCATGAACATGAAAGCTGACGGAAGATACTTGAGATTTGGATTTAAAAGCTGAGGGTGAAGGTTGATAGACTTGTCGTGCCAGCGGTGGGCGACTCACCCGTCAGTACCGGTACTGACGGGTGAGAGCCAGGGTCTGGCCCTATCCATCCGAGGGCTGAGACAGAGGGTCCTTCTCTCAGCAGCCTGGGTAGACATACACCCGCAGGGCTCTCACCGTTCAGTACCGGTACTGACGGGTGAGTGGCGGCACCGGTGTCCCGGATCATGTCTCAGCTTTGATTGGCGCAGGTTTGGATTTATTTCGCTGGGCCACGGCCTTGGATCGCTGTTGCCTGCCGTAGTCATGCCGAGTCCAAGACCCTCTGCCTAGAGCCAACCAAGTTGCTTTCTCATTAATGCAGCTTTAATGACAATTGCAGGACGAAGCCTGCAAATTGAGGTCGTCGCAGGCAGCTGCCCAAGCTACTCTGCTCTCGAGTCCCAGGCTGCGGAGGACATGCTTACTGCCCGCGCTGCGCAGGCAGGCTCTTTCGACCCGGGATCAGCTAGTACCAACATCATCAACTCCTGCCGAGGGCCTCCTCGAGACAGAGATGCAAGAAGAGATGGAGTCGAAGGCAAGAGCGTCAAGAGTGACAAAGGATGAAGGTCTTAGTGAGAAGTTGCACGACCGAGGAGGAGCTGACAGAAGCGCTCGCGACTCTCAGCAAGGAGGAGGTGGGGAGCAAATACTTTACATCTGCCGATGAGCTTAGACTTCATCGGTGCAAGGCTACCCTACACCAGTGCTTGGTCTTTGAGATGCGCACGGCTACGCACGCAGAGGCTACTTAATGGAGATTCTGCGGTGGCTCCCTGCACAGGCAAGGATCAGGGACCTGATGTCGGAGATGAGAGGCCCCACTCCCACATCGCCGGCCGAAAGGACCCCCCCGACAACACCGGCGTCTGTGATGCATTATATGAAAGATCCTTTCTTCTGTGCTTATCCGTCCACAGAAATGACCCAGGTGCCTTCCGGAAGTGACTCCGACCAAGACGGTCACATGGACTCCTAGTAATAGTACGCATGGCCCGGGTTACACTCCACAAACCTTCACTTGGTGTAAGTCTCAGGGCCCAGCTGCCAAGCCGCTCAGATGATGTAGATGCCTGCTGTAGTCAATCAGCCTGCCACCCGGTGGCCCAGAATCGTCATAGTCTGTCAACACGCTAGCGCTCGTGGACCGGCACAGCTGTGCACTGGCACTGGGCCTCTAGTGGAGAGCGTCTTCCACGGCCTCGGTGATCAGAAAAAAGGCGGCTTGCAACTTCGACTGCCGCTCACAATGCCTCATTCAATATTCTGGTCACAACCTGCAAACATTCGCGCTTCATGCTTCCACGACTCAGGCAGCCACGGCAGCCTAGACCAGGTCGGTGCTGTCAAAGCCTTACCGTCACTGCACATGTGCAACCAGAAAGGAAAAAAGAGATCAGAGAGCGAAGGAAGAAGAGATGCGCCGTCGCGGCGCATTTGAGAGATAATAGATTGAGAGATAATAGAGAGCCGTCGCGGCGCGGCACATTAGTGCCTAGAGTTCTGCACCCTCGCGGTGCACTAGCTACTGACACTGCGCCGTCGCGGCACATGCTCTGTCGTCCTCTTCTCTGCGCCATCGCGGCGCATCTTGTCTGTTTCTGCACCATCGCGGCACATTTTCTCTGAACGTTTCTGCGCCCTCGCAGCGTCGTCGTCGTCGTCGTCTTGCGCCATCGCGGCACATTTTCTTTGGCGCCTTCGCGGCACCGTCTGATCTCCTTCGCCTTGTCGCCGAGCTTGCTTGCAGGGCCCTGAAAGGTACGCGGGGTATTTAGGAGTTTAGGCTTAGGGTTATTTTAGGCTTAGGGTTTAGGGCTTTGGGGATTGGGGCTTTTGGACTGTGGTGTCTGAAAGGGGGGTAGGAGAAGGTAGGAATCTATCTGTTGTTCCGGCCTTGGGTGAGATGACCTAGAAGCTATTGTTCCTACCTTCATGAAGCAATGGGCCTACATCTCGAACCTGGCAAATTTTAAAGAAGCCTATTATTATACGAGCCAAGAATTAATATAGGGCCTTGAAAACCACGAAACCACATGGCATGTGTGCACGTGTAGTGGCTGCAGAAACACATATGAAACAAAGAACAACTTGAAATGCATTAATTCTGTTTTCTGTGACATTTGATGTGGTCCCACGAATTTGCGAACCTAATTTCGATAACCTGAAATATTTGAAACTAGTGCTCGACATGTGGTTGCCTGCATTCGAGAAATCGAAATAGGCATTTATGTTTTTTGAAACATACACAGTATTTTAGAAAAATGGTTTCCAACTATTTCTATCTTTTGTAGTATGGGCTACAACTCAGGTTGTCTGTGATTTTTCGCTGATACAGAAGCTTCATTCATGACCCCCCCAGCTGTGAGTGTTCAGTCAAAGCAAGGCCCCGCCCAAGATTTTTGTTACACCTTTTTCCAGCCGTCGAAGGCCGAAACGCAGCAGGATTTAAAAAAAATCCTTTAACAAGAGGCAAGCCTGCTTAGGGTCGAGCATCCGGTCTAGCAGGTCTGTCACCTGCCCAACCTTGTGGTTGGTGAGCGGTGGGTCGGCCAAGGCAGCGATGTGCTGCCACACCTCGCGCTCTGTGAGCGCTCCTAGCCGCGGTGCCTTCTTGGGCTCCACCCGGCTCTTAGCTGCAGGCGGCTGCTGTGCTGCCGCTGCGCTCGCGGAGGAACCCGCAGAGTCGCGCTTCTGCCCCCCTTCTCCTGAGCCGTCGTTGGCGGCTGGGGCGGGGCTTGCCGCTTGTTGCGGCAGCGCGCTTGCTGCGGAAGGTCCTGCCTCCACATCGGACGGCTCGTAGTCCGGTATTTCTGCGTTGGCCAGCTCCTCGGTAGGGCTGGCGTCCGGGAGCCTGCTGGCCTGCTCGGCCCCTTCGACTAAGAGCCTCGTCGTCGGGCCGCGGCCCGTCGCTGAAGAGCCAGGGCTCACCGGGCGGTTCTAGCCGCTCCGTTTCCTCGGCCGGCGTGGCCAGAATGATTGGAACCATTATCGGCTCGCTGCGCTCTGCTGGCGCTGCGCGGCCAAATCTGGGATTCCAAGGCAGGCCGCACGCTTTGAGGACGGCTGCCGTCTGGTGTCGGGTCTCCGGCGGGAGTCCTGACGCTCCTCACGTTGAGTGCGCCAGCCTCGGTCAGCACCACGCTCCAGCTTGCCGGCCCAGACCCCTTTGACCCAGCGCACTTGCGCTTTGTTCCCGGGCCTTGGGAGCTTCGCCAGAACGGTTTCTCCAAAGGAGCAAAGTGCTCCACCATAGTCGGTGCCTGTGGCTGCCCGATATGACACCCCGTCTGTTGACTTTGTCCCGAAACGAGCCTGCAGCCAGGCCACGTGCCTGACAAGCCACGGGAACAAGTTGGACGAAGTGTCCCACTCTAAGGCGGGGTAGTCCGCTCTCAGCTGCGAAAGCCAAGTGCGAACCTCACCTGCCAGGTGTGCGTTCCTACCCTCCACGGATCCTTGGCTTTGGTGTGACCCGCGAGGGGCGTCCCGAAGACGCACCCTAGCAGCTCCAAGCCGGCGGTGGACCGCACGGGCCACAGAGGCTATAGCATTCTCTTGGTCAGCCTGCAGGGTGAACTTGTCGTACCCCAGGCGATCCACGAACTGCTCCACAAGCCCTGCACCGTAAACCGCGTGTCTGTGCCTGTGCCCTTTGTGCGCAACGGGAACCGACAGAGTCCAGCCAGTGGCCCTGTCTGTGAGGTTCAGCACCGTGGCAAGCGACGCTTCTTCCTCAACATCCATGGTGACAAGCGGCGTCACCGGATCATCCGAGGGCTCACGGCGGCGGTGAGGGTCCTCGCGCGCCTTTCCCTCCACGCACTTCTCGCACCACGCCTGGTAGGGCGTGTGAGTGAGCTCGTGCTCGGCGCGTTCCTGCGCTGTGGGGTTGCGCGGTGCCCTTAGGCCGCGTGGTCTTGAGTCAGGCTGTTCGGCCTGCTCCTCGAGAGGGGCGGAGTTACCCGCAGCCTCCTCCTCTTCAGCAGCTTCGGCCTCTTCGTCGGCTGCTGCTTCCATCGCCGCGTCCTCCTTCGAGGTCGTGCTCCGGGATGTAGTCGTAGTGTCCCAGGTCCTTGCCTGGGCTCGGTGGCTCTGCCGCCACCGGTGCCACCCGGTTTGTTGACCCCGGCGGGAGCTCCCGCTCGTAGGGTAGGAGGAACTGTGACCCTCTCTTGAGGATCGAGGCTCGGACGCCGTCGGGCCACAAAATGTGGCTGTCCTCGGTGGAGCCAAATGCCCGCACCGGCCTCAACAGCACGGCTGATGCTGAGGATTTCGTCCTCTATGTCCTCGGTCACCTCAAAGTTGACCTTGCAGGACTGGCGCTCCTCCCCTAAGAGGAGGCTCGGCGGACACGGCCCTTTGTTTTCAGGCGGCTGTTGTCCACCGAGTAAAGGCTCTTTGGTGGGCCCGCGGGCTGCAGGTCGGGAAACGCCTCGGGCCTGCACACGGACACACACGCCGCGGAGTCCACAAGAAGACTCCCCGACACCTTGAGGATCTTTTCCTCTTCTGGCTCGGTGTCGTGAGGCGGGGCAAACCGCACACCTAAGATGCGGTCGTCGCGCACCTGGCGTACCTGGCCTTTGCCGCCAGAGCCGCCAGTGCTTCCTCCAGCTTGGGACGCGGAGGGGCCCGCAGTCGCCAAGGAGGCTGTTGACACCGTCGTGGCCGCGTCGTCGGCCACTTGGGCCACCTGGCCCTTGGCGCCTTTGCCCTTTCCCTTGGCGTTAAACCAGCACTCTTTTACGGTGTGCCCCGTTTTCCAGCAGATGGGGCATCTCTCTTTGCCGTCTCTGCCTCCTTGCTGGTTCCCCTTTTTGTCCCCTTTCTTGCCTTTGTGGTCGTGGTCGCCCTTGCCCTTTTTGTGGTCCTTGTCCCCTTTCTTGCCTTTGTCGCCTTTGCCCTTCCCTTCTTTTCCGTCTCGGTCCCCTATTCTGCCAATGTCCATGGTGTTAGGGTCCCTTCGGGAAGAGGCGGCGTAGCCCGCACTCGGGGTCCAGACCCTTTTGGCCTGCAAGTAGCTCACCACTACTTCCCTCACCTCGGCATAAGTCGAAAGACTCGCCGCGTGCATAGCGAGGTGTTGCCGAAGAGCGTTGGGGCTCTCGGTCACCAGCACTGCCCGCAGATCTTCGTCTGCTAGGGCGCGCCCTGCGCCATACTCGGAGGCATAGCGGTCCACATCTGCGTCCCATTCCTGGAGAGCCAAGGAGAAGTCGCTCTCCTTTGGCGGGAACTTCGGCATCAGCAGGGTCCGCCTCCAGGTGAGGTTCTTGGACTCGTTCTCTGGGTTGTGCTCCTGCCACAGGAGGCGCCAAAGCTCGAACCCATTCTGGCCCTTCACTCCGCGCGCCAGCTTTACAGCTGTGGCGGAGTCCTGGGTCCAACTGCCCAGCATGCCGAAGAGGCGGACGCTGAGGGTCCGCACTTCCTCGGTCATGGCTGCCATTTGGAGTGGCGCCTTGCACTTTCGAGCTATTTCCAGCTCTGCTGGATACCTGGTGTCCACGACCGCCAGGTAAGACTCTGCCTGAAAGGCAAAGCGCTCCCAGTCGTCTCGCCCCTTAAGGGAAGTTGGGAGCCGCATGCTCTTGAGCAAGTGCCCTCCACCGCTCGCCTGCGACGCAGGGGCGGGTGCCGCCGTGGCGACTGCCGCCGTAGCGGCTGCTGCAGCTAGGCCCTGTTGTCTCTGGGCCGACAACTCGCCAATCGCAGCCTGCAGCTGCTGCGCTTGGCTCTCCAACAACCCCCTAAGGGTTGCGACTTCCCCGCGCAGGGCCTCGACCACGGGGTCGCCCTGCGGGGGCGGATAAGCCGGTTGCTGGCTCATCTCTTGAGGCGTCGAAGATGGCCTGGCTGATCTCGTCCAGCAAGATCAGGGCTTCTCCGTACTGCTCCGCCAGCCTTGGGTTGCCTTCCCAAGGAGTCGCTGGCCTGTTGCGAGCCGCGTGCCTGAGTCCGTTGAGGAACACGGCCCTTGGCCCTCGGAGCTCTCCTCTTCGGACTCCTCTTCCTCACCGTCGTCGCGGGAGCACCGCAGCCTCGGGCTCTGCTGGCCCTGGCTGCGCGGCCTTGGGTTCCTCCTTCAGCGGAGGCGGTGGTCCCAAGTGAGGTGGCGGCGCCTTTACCGTCGGTGCTTTGGCTAGCACCTCTTGGTAGGGCCTTCGGCTCTGCCTCCGGGGTGGCCTCTGTGAGTCCAATCGCCGAGGCAGCTTGCTCCTGCCCAGCTTCGGTGCTGGGGCTCACAGAGCTCTCTTCCTTTGCCTCGGCTGCCTTCGGTGCAGCCTTCGGTGAGGCTTCTGGCTTTGCCTCCTCGGCTGGCTCTGCGGCCGCCTCTTCGGAGGCAGGCGGGCAACCCGCTCTGCCGGCTCTTCCTTCTCAGCAGGGGTGACCCCGCTAGAGGAAGAAGCTGCAGCAGCAGCGGGCGGGGTTTCCCGCTCTCCTTCGGAGTTGCTTCCCCCGAAGTCTGGAGTGTCCTCGCCAGGCGCAGGGCCTGTGAAGACTGGAGCCTTGGGCACCGGCGCGGTGTCCAAGGAGGATTCCGAGCTCGGGCTCTGAATCTCCTGGCCGGCACCAGGAGCTTGCTCCGCGGCTCTGGGATATCAGTCCCCGGGCCCTCTACGAGGACGACCGGGTCTGTACCCTCTCTTTCGCGCCTTTCGGCGCCGCGGGCCTCGCGGTTGGCGCGGGCCGCTTGGGAACGACCACCTCCGTCATTCTTCTTTTTCCCCGAACCCTGTTCAGGCTCTTGGGTCGCAGGCTTGCCCTTGCCGGACTTGCCTGCTGGAGCTGGCTTGCCCTTTGCGGGCTGCTCTGCTCCTTTTGCTTGTGCTGCCTTGCCCTTTGCGGGCTGCGCAGCTCCCTTGGCAGGCTTGCCCTTGGTGGGCTTCCCTGCTCCCTTCTCCCCGCGACGGGGGGTTCGGCTCCCCGACTCCGAGGCGGGGCGGCCCGCACTCGGGCCGGTTTTGCCTTTGCCCTTTTCGGGCTCGGCTGTTCTGCCCCAGTTTTGGTTCGGGGCTTCGGTGCGCTCGCCTATGAAAAAGACGGCGCGGTCGAGCTGGAGCTTCAGCGGCTCCGCTCCCCTTGGCACCTTCTGGTGCTTGACTGGAAGAGGCCTCCTCCTGCTGGGAGGTTATCCAGTCCCACCGGGAACTCCAGTCGGAGTCCCAGCCCCACCAGCCCCACCACTCGGACGTGGCGGCTGGCGGGTGGCGGTTCGGCCCGCGCACCCAAGGAGCGTCGGGGCCTACCGAACCAGCTCCGCTACCATGCGCGGAGGTTGGGTCGCGTATTGGGCTCACTTTTTCACTCTGCAAAAGAGGGCTGCGGTGAGTCGCAGTCAGGTTAAAGCCCTTTAGCTCAAACCCTCTTCTCTCTACACTGTACAGCTACTTACCTAGGTTTCCTAGTGTAGCCTACAAAAATCTCGCAGAAACAGTACTGCACGTTGCAACTGCACGCTCTTGCCAGAGTCTTTGCTGCTGCAGCTGGCGTGCCCAGACTTCTTGTGGGGTGCTTAGCACACAGTCAGCTGACCCATGCAGAGAGAATTCAGCGGCAAATAGCGCCTGATTTAGGCGCCGCTGCTGCAGAAACCAGTTCAGGCATGCAACTGCACAGAACTCAAGCTAAGCTCTATGCACAAGGTGGGCTCCGCATCTTGAAGACACGCTTGTGAGCGCTCTGATTCTAGCAGGATGACCAGATGCCTCCCATGCATGGCAAATTATCTTGCCCGTGGATGCTTTCATTCGGGCCTGTGGCATATGGCCTAGGTGATACTCGGGTCAGCGTCGGAAGAGATTGGCTGTCCTTCTCCCTTCTCATGTCTCGGTGTCACTTGTAATTTGCGGGCCAGGTCGCGAATTTCGCATGTTGGGGCCCAAGCCAAGCCCGTGCATTCCACACACACACTGCTACATCAAGGCGACCCGCCCACAGGCAGGCATCCAGTGTGGAAAAATCATTCTCCAAGAACAAGAATTTCCAACAGACAGCTTGCCTGTGAAGTGAAAGACATGAGAGAACAGAGGGGGGCCACTCAAGCGAAGCCAAATTGCTTGGCTTGTTCGACCCCACAATTGCCGCGTGTGCTGCAGTTGGTTCGCACCCAAAGTGGACATCGGCGGCACTGGTGGCCGAACAAGTGTTCCAGACACAGCAGCTAGAACACTTCCACCTTTGAGCTGCAGGCAGACTTTTCGGACAAATAGGATCTAGTCCAAACAGGTAACTGAGATGCTTTCTTGGCGCAGGTGCCTTCCAGAAGAACTCTTAACTTCTACCTTGCACAGGCGAGGCCGAAGTCCGCTTCCAAGAAAAACAGAGATCTTTCACTTGAGCTGAAAACTTTCGAAGCAAAACGAAACGAAACAAAACAAGTGCGGTCACTAACCTGATTCAAAAGCACTTCTAACATTTGAGGCAGACCGAAAACAGGCGTAGAATCCTGTCCGAAATCAGAAAATACACGAATTTGTGTTGCGGACGGGTGGCACGGGGCGGATATGTTCTGGAATTTGCTGAGCAACAAAGTCCCTTGAAGCGCCTGTTGCGATGTTGTCCGTCCGTGCTGAGGCGCAAGACCTCCAAAGGCCGAGGTTTGTGACAGCGGATGCAACCTGCGCAAAGAGACACGCAACCAAAAAAAAACAATTCATTGGCTTTGATATCTTTTGTTAAGATGGAGCCAATCATCTTCTAATCCAAGCATTGGAAAGAATGGTGTTTCAAACGAAGTTCGAACTGTTTGAGGGGATGCAACAGCCGTTCCAGCAACAGCAAATGCAACCAGAAGCAAGGCAGAGGCAAGGAATGTTACAAATGGGTTTCTGCTAAAAGAGCAAAAAAAGGTAAGAGCCAGGTGAGTCCATGTCTTTGAAGCCCTCCTTGAAACTTCTTCAAGCTCCCTTCAAGTCCTTCTTCAAACCAGCCTTCAAGATCCCTTCAGCGGTCGTAGAATCGTCTTAGCGCAATTCTCGACAGTATGTTGCATTAATCCAAGCAACAGTAGCTTTGACGCAGTCCACTCATCGAAGCCACGGTGGCAAGAGCAGCACAAGCTGTGGCTCGATTCAGCAGTCGATTTCATGCAGCAAACCACCGGTTTTAAGCTCAATTTTTGGAATCGCACAATCTAACCAGCAAGTCGGACTCTCAACAAGTCAAACTTAAGACATCAGTGGCAAACTTGGGCACCAAGACTCTCGATGACCTGGCTCTCAAGCAGTCTTTGAGGCGCAACCAGGAATGGACACTCTTTCCTCTGTGGCAGAGCTAGGCTTTCTTGTCACACAAGTTTTCGATAAACTTGTTAGAAGATCATGGCATGAATTCCGAATTGAGCCTCTCGATACCATTTCTCTGCACAGCTCAAGAATGCGGGGGGGAGGATGGGTCTGTGTTGGCGGAAATGCGGAATTGCTGAGCAACGCCTGTGGTTTGTGACAGCCGAATGCACCTCCTGCGCAAAGAGACACGCAACCATGAAGCAATAAAAGACTTCGATCACACGATGGAACTGACTCAAAGAGCAAAACGGAAAATTGAAGTAGAGGTGCAACCTCCGACAGCGAAAAGTGCAGTTCGAACTGTTCTTTTAGAGGAACGCAACAACCGTCTGGCAGCAAGGCAGAGGCAAGAAATTTGCAAATTATTCTCTGCTAAAAGAACAAAAAAAATCTGGCAAGGCCAGGTGAGTCCATGTCGTGGATGAGGGGTTTTGGTCAAGCATTATTCTGTGGAGAGCCGACCTTGGCGAAGCCAATTGCTTGTGTTTTGCGGGCCTTAAAATGGGGTTGCCCGACAGCCTCATAACTGTGCAGCTTTGAGATCGTACAAAGACATGGAAATTGTTGCAGAGGTGGAAGGTATCTCCACCAGATCTGAACAGGACACACAGACCCGTGGTGGTGTGTGAATTTCTGTTTTCTTCCGTATGCTGTCAGCTCAAGAAAAAATCGAGTGGTGCACACTCTGTTTTTTTGGTAGCGGACTTCTGAGAGCTTGTCAAGCGGCAGAAGGTACCTGTGCCTGAGAAGGAAGTGTTCTTGCTGCTGTGTCTGAAACGCTATCACTTCCACCGGCAAGCTGTCTGTGGGAAATTGTCTTGGAGAATGATTTTTCCACACTGGATGCCTGCCTGTGGGCGGGTCGCCTTGATGTAGTAGTTTGGAATGCGGGCTTGGATTTGGGCCCCAGAATAGGAATTCGTAATCCCAAAATAGAAGCCGCCAAGCGGCCCTGATTTTGGGGTCCTCTGGTTGCCAGTCAAAATATGTTAAAGGAGGTTCTGCATTTCGTGGCCCTTTTTCTGGGGCCGCAAGACGGCCCCAGTTTTCCACAGCGGCTGAATCTCGTCAGCTGCGCATGTCATTGATTGTATTGACTTTGGGGGACGTCTGTGGAGGACCGTTTGGAAGGTCGGAACTTGTCCAAAGCAGCTTTGTGCTCGCCCTTAAAAGTGCTGCAGCCAGCGGAATGCAATTGTTTTTTCAGGAAAGAGGCCACGCTTGCAAACTCCACTGGGAAGCAGTTAGTCCCTGTGTCCAGCTTGCTTGCGTGTCGAATCTTCCCGACACAGGCAGTCCGCCGCTTAGAAGGTCAAAGGAGGATGCAGCACTATCTTTATCTCTCTTCGTTGTCCGGAGTCTTGGAGTCTTTGATCATAAGAGGCTTTTGTCTTTTTCGATTCCATCGGCAGACGTGGATCCTTTCTTTTACTTCTTCTTTCATAGCCGCATTCAGCTTTGATTGGGCATAAACGTGCTTCTGGTTTTCTTTGAACCGAGCGTTGATGCACTCACACTCCTCGAGGAGATTTTCATCGTTGGCCGGTTACTTGTGGTCTCGGTGAACTGCACCCGCCTCGCACGCTTCGCTCGCTCGCTCTGCTTCGCTGCTTGCTTCGCCGCCTGCTGAGGACGATCAGAGAGCTCAGCACCATGCGCCGCTTTTGCCATGCTCTGCTGCCGCTTTCGCAACACCTGGCACGATGTACGCCGGCATGCTGCCTGCTTCTACTACCGCTCCTTTTCTGCGTCCGCTGCTCCTGCTGCTTCCGCACCTGCCCTTCTTCCGACCGATTCTTCTTCTTGTCCTCTGTCCCTTCGCAGGGATCCAGAGGGCGCTCGGGCCCCTTTTCCGTTTTAGGAGTCTTTGGTTTCGGAGGTTCTTCATCTGAGCTTGGAATGAACTCGGCTTCCCACATGAGAGGGTCAAGAGTGACCTTGCTCATTCCTTTTGCGAGTTCCTCAGATGGTGTCTTTTTCTTGCTCTTCTTGGAAGAAGTTGCAGGCTCCGAAGAAACAGGTATCCCAGGTGATGCCGGATTGACATCTACCCTGAGTTCCGAAGAGGACGAGGATGAATTCGACTTTTCTGAATCTGATTCATCCTCAGAGCCATCGTCATCATCCTGGTTAGGATCTGGTTCTTCGGGCTCTGTCTCTGTCTCTCCGGAAGATGATTCTTCCTTAGGAGGAACGACATTTTCAGTGGTATCCTGGATAGGATCTGGCGGTTTGTGAGAAGTTGTTGTCGTGAGAACCTCTGCAGCGCTTGAAGAACCGTCTGCGTTCCAGAGCTTGCCCATGAGGCTGTCTGGTCTGGATTCTGATCGGCTTCAGCCTTTCTCGCAAGTTTCGATCTGGGATGTACTCCTACTGATGCAGAAGCTTCCTCTACTGTGGTCTCCGTTTTCGGAGGTACCTCACTTGCAGAAAAAGGATGCTCCGTGTTCGGAGTTCTGAAGTCTTGAGACTGTGGAAGGGAGAATGACTTCTTGTGAGAAGATCTTGCCTTCGGAGGCTCAGGCGGTTGACGCTTCTTTGCCATTTTTAGCAATTGTTCTTCAAGAGTCCTTCCATGATTCTCACACCACTTCTTTGACATGTGTGTCAATGAGGGCATTTCTTCGTTGCTGTGGTCGGTCCACCAGGCTCGAACCCTTTTGAGTTCATCATATTGTTCAGACACCCAGAGTTGTTCTGTTGGTGCGAACATGGCGCTGATGGTGTGGGCCTGCACCACTTCTGGAGTGGCGAACATTCCGCCTTCTGAACGCCACAAGTTTGTCACAGCGTTGGCCACGTTTGTGGCATCGTATACAAGCAGCAGTGGCTTTTTACGCCTTAGTCCTATGGCGGTCGGACTGTCGAGGTTCAGTTTGGCGAACTGAACTGTGTCCCTGTTGGGACGTCCGTTCTCCGTCACAAGAGCTTGATAGCTCTGTGATGTGACCACTTGCTTCAGAAGAGATGAGGGAACGAG